GTGTGTGTGTGAGAGAGAGAGAGAGAGAGAGAGAGAGAGAGAGAGATGAGAATGTTCTGGAACTCGATGGCAGGGGCGGTTATACAACACGGAGAACGTACCTGTTGTCAGGTGCATGGAGCAGATTCTCACCCGCAACCGCCCTACATCACACAACAGAACACACCATTCCCTGCCTGTCCAGCACCGGCCTCACCGTGGTAGGTGTGCCAGAGCCCACAGCTGCACCCACTGCATCACTCCTGCTAACGGGGGGGATCCTACCAAACCCCCCCCTTTTTTTTTAGAGAGGTGGGTTAACACACTTCCTGTCAGGTGTTATCACATCAACTCTAACTCACAGTGATCCATGTAAAACAACATGAAGCCCCCGCCCGGGCCTGTGCCAGCCTCACAGTGTCTTCAGGGACTAAACCCTCTGTGGCATTTACCGTGTCCACACATCTCATCAAAGGTCTACATTTTACGTTGTGAACTTTATCTCAATCAAACAGAAGAAGAAATGCATGTATTTCTTATGTCTTTAGCTCTTTTTATATGTTTGAGATTTTTCCATGACAAAATTTTTTAACCTGGTGATGGAGCATCCATACTTAACCTAGTACTTGATACTGACTATGAAGATATTATTCCAATAATTTATTCCTCGATTGGTGACATCAAAATAGTATCATAATCCATTTTCAATGGGGACAAGGGAGAATAAAATCATATATATCCTGGTAGATTGAAGAGATCAAAGCCTTGATACACTTGCAAGCATCAATCTTACCTTAACTGTCACTTCATCTCCTAGAATTTTCTGGTCTGTGAAAATAGAGGCAGGGGCCAGTTCCTTCCCCTTGTAACATTCTATGACCTTACACTTTGCATCAACACAAAGACTGCTTGTCTTCTTAAAAAGTATCTAGCAGATGTCAATACATGGAAAAGTTGTGTTTGTTACCAAATGTCCATCCTTACTTTCTGTATTTGCCAAAAAAATTCACAGTTCTCACTGCGTTTGAGAATTCTCCACCCGGAGCTCACAGCCTGCAGAGCTGAATGAAGGTCTCTGAAGTCAGCCAGCCTTTTCCAAATCATTTAGGCCTAACGATTATATTTCCACATCTTAATACTCCAAGATCTATAAATGACTTCTTAATAGAAGGAACTTAGAACAGCGTCTAAGGTATTACTGAAAATTCATTAAAAAAACAACAAAAAAGTTCATGATTTCTACAGGATTTCTCTAATTCTGTATAGGAATAGTCCTATTTGAAAAGCTATCACATTATTAAAGCACGGCAATATGTTTAAACCTGAATTAGAGACTAACTAAACAGAATTCCATTAAGCAGTGTTTCCCAGCCCCGTTCAAAGAGATATATACAGTGAGACCCAATTAAAGGTCAAGGCTCACTCTCTCTAGTGAGAACTCTCTGTAATGGGTGAGATATCAAACTGAGGACACACAGCTCAGCCACTCAGCTGGGCAAGGCGTGTACACTCTGATCTCTTTTCTCATCTACAAAATGATGACACTGCAACTTACACCTCAGGAGGTTGATGTGAGGATTCAAAATCCAATAATCTAAGTGTCTGGTGCATCCAAGACACAGGTATTACTCACTAATACCTTTACTATCATTATGCCATTTCTACATACAATCTCCATACCCTCCCATTCTTCACAGTAAGTAAACATACTGATTAGTAAATTAAACAGAAATAGTACTGCAATAACTAGAGATAACATACCTGTTTCAAGACGCGTAGAATACTGATATAAGAAATATAAATTAACCAAATAAAGAAATCCCGTTCCTGGGCCCACGGGGAAGTAAAAGGTGGCAGTAATTGGCCTCCAGATCTGTAGGATTAAAATAAACAGCTGTCAGTTTCTCTGCTAGCTACATTTATTATTATTAAACAATATCATAATATCACATGCAAGCAAACACTGCTGAAGATTATAAAAACAAAACAAAACAAAATAAAAACGGGTAAAACAGCACACTGACAGAGAATGGACGGCCAGAGTTCAGTCTGGGTTTAGAAGAGGCCATAGCACCAGGGATATATCACTGCTGATGTCAGACAGATCCTGGCTCAAAGCAGAAAATATCAGAAAAATGTCTATTTGTTACTGACTATGCAAATATTTAACATTGCAAATCATAATGAACTATGGGTAACACTGAGAAGACTGGGACTCCCAGAGCATTTAATTATGCTCATATAAAACCTGCCTAGACCAAGAAGCTGTTTTCTGAACAGAGCAAGGATGGTTTAAAATAAAAAAAGGAGTGCATCAGGGATGTATTCTTTCTCCACACCTACTCAATCTGTATTCTGAGCAAATCTTTCGAGAAGCTAGAATCTGTGAAGAAAAATGTGGCTTTATAATAGGAGGAAGACTCGCCAACAGCCTGTATTATGCAGATGGCACAACCTAGCTGGCTGATAGTGAGGAGGACTTGAAATACTTGTGGCAGAAGATCAAATACTAGAGCCTTCAATATAGATTACATCTCAACATCAAGAACATAAAAGTCCTCACCACCAGGCCAATAAGCAATATAATAATAGAGAAAAGATTGAAACTGTCAACAAATTCATCTTACTGTACTCTACCATTAACAGCACTGGCACCAGCAGTCAAGAAATCAAAAGTGTTACAATGGGAAAGTCAGCTGTCAAAAACCTCTCCAAAGTACTGAGAAGCAAGGATGTCAGTTTAAAGATTAAGGTGTCCATGATTCAGGCCACAGTCTTTCCAATCACATGCTATGCATCTCGGAGCTGGACGATAAATAAGGATGATAGGTGGCCTAGTGGCAAGCAGCTGTGCTGTAATCACAAAGGCGCATGGTTCGAAAACACCAGACGTACCACTGGAAGGAGAGTCTGTCTCCTCCTATGCCAGTGGGATCTGATTCAAAGGTACACAACAGGAAAGAAGGAGGGAAAAAATAAAGCTGACAGACAAAGAATGGATGCCTCTGAGGTGTGATGCTGTGGAGTCCTGAAATCCCACAGATGGCCGAAAGAAGAGAAAAGCACGGCCAGATGCTCCTTGGAGGCAAGGATAGCAAAGCTTCATCTCACTGGGCATGTTGTTAGGACGAGCTCTTTCCTGGAAATGGACAATACGCTTGGAAAGGGGGAGGCTCAGCAAAACAGAGGAACACCCTCAAGACAGACCGACGGTGACAACAACGTGCTCAAGAAGTCAGAGATGAGGAGGAAGGTACAAGGTAGTGCTGGGTTCACATCTGTTGTTCAGAGGGTCGCTAGAGTCACACACCCAACTTGAGGATTTGTAACAACAAACAAAAATAAACCCAGATAAATAATATAAATAAATAAATAAATGCAGAGGATTCTCCTCATTGAGGGCCCACTGACATCACAGGTACAATTCAAGACTACAGGGAAAAAGGTCCTGTCAGTTACAAGTACACCAATTTATACAAATCCATGGAATTAAATTATGCCAAGTAAGAAATTATTTTTATGTAAACTGAGGAGGGAATAAATGCTATACAAGGATATACTTAGTCTTTACTGAGTTGGGGCAGATAGTTAAAGCCCATGTTAACAACGATGCCTCTATTCACACCAAGAGAGAACACAAAGAATAACAATCCAAAGGCACATGATTCAAAACCACCAGAAAGATGGGTATCTCCTCTTGCTTGATTTACAGCCTCTGAAACCCTGCTGGAGGGTCAGCTATGGGTCAGTTCCTACCCAATGGTACACAACAACATTCAAGAGGTAGAAATGGAACAGGGCTCACTACTCAGTGTTGTGAATAAGCAATATTGTTGTTGTTATGTGCCATCAAGTTGCCTGCAACTCATAATGACCCTATGGTACAACAGCCCAAAACTCTCCTCTATCCTGTGCCAATCTCACTGTCTCCAACACACCTCCACTTCCCTAGTTACTGAATCAATCCATCTCATTGAGGGTCTTCCCCTCCTGCACTGTCCCTCCACTCTCCCAAGCATGATGTCCCTTTCCAAGGACTAGTCCCTCCTTACAACATGCCCAAAGTATGTCAGACGAAGCTTCAGAATCCTTGCCTCCAAGGAGCAGCCTGGTTTCCCCCACTTCAGAACAAAAACTGTTTGCTCTCCTAGAAGTCCATGGTATAATTCAATACTCTTCTCCAGCACCACAGCTCAAAGGCATCAATTCTCCTTCTATCATCTATAGTCATTGTCCAGCTTTCTGACGCATAGCAAGTAATTGCAAAGACCATGGCCTGGATCAGGTACACTTTAGTCTCCAGACTGACATCATTGCTCTTCAGTACTCTGGAGAGGTCTCTGACAGCTGACTTTACCAATGCAACTTGTCTTTTGATTTCTTGGCTGCTGGTACCAAGAGTACTGATTGTAGAGTCAAGCAAACTAAAGCTTGTTAACAATCTCAATCTCTACCACTGATCATGATGCTGCCAATCGTCCCAGTGGTGAGAATCTTTGTTTTCCTGATGTTTAGCCTTAATCCATATTGAAGGCTGCAGTCCTTGACCTGCAGCAGGCACTTCAGGTCCTCCTCAGTTTCAGCAAGTAGGGTTGTCATTTACATAATACAGATATTGATAAGTCTACCTCCAATCCTGGTGCCACACTTCTCCTCACAGAGCCCAGCCTCCCAGATAATCTGTTCCGCATACAGATTGAAAAATTGAAAAAGTATGGAGACAGGACACATCCCTGGTGTACACCCTTCCCAATTTTGAACCATGCAGTGTTTCCTTGCTCTGTTCTGGTGACTGCCTCCTGGTCAAAGTATAGGTTTCATATAAGCACAATCAAGTGTTCTGGAATTCCCATTCATCTCAGAGTCAGCCACAGTTTGTTGTGATCTACACGGTCAAATGCCTTTACATAGTCAATGAAACACAAGATAGATATATAATTTTAAAATATGACTTCTCCCTTGCCCTGCCCCCCTCAAAAACAATTTCCCAAGAGTCAACAATGAAAAGGAAGACTTGTCCCTGATCCTCATCTCCCAGTTCTCTTCTCAGCAAAACCTGACCACTTACTAGGACTTCATCCAGAAATAACAGGATGTGTCCTCGCTCGCTCTTCGGCCCTCCCACTGCACTGGCCCGCACCTCGCTGCTCTCCCTTGGCAGACAGCCTGACTGGCCTCAGAGTACTCCTTTCATGTGGGGCCCAAACTTCTCTTCAACTGCTACAAGGCTGCAGTGAGCACTCTGCTTGGACATGTGGACTGAAACTACCAGATCAGGGGACTTCGGCCTCTAACGTTGGTCAGTACTGTCAATACTTTTACAAAGTGTACTTTCTTTACCCTAAGAGTGACTTCCTGAGAACCACATATAAACCAAAAGAGCAAACTAGATCAAAACTCATTTTGGTTTCTTCACAAGTATACAGAAACACCTGGGTCTGCTGCAGAGGCCTGCAAGCACCTGGAGTGGGGTCTCAGACAACAAACTGGCATTTCTGAGCTTCCATTTCTGGCTGTTACAGTGTAGTCTAACTGTCTCCACTTTGACTAAAGATAAGATGAATAAAGAAAATGAGTGAATCCATCCACAAACGTGCGAGCCTACTTACTTACATGCCTTACCCGAGGGGGTAGGTTTTACAGATGAGCAAAGAGCATGTAGAAAGGTTGTGTGATCGCTAATAAGTGGCAGAGTGAGAACTCTGTCCCAAGACAGTCTGACTCCAGAGTTTGGGCTGTTTTTTTTTACAATTTCTCTCACAAGTGGCATGGATATTACGGGCTATAACTATAATTAATAAAACTTTTCAGCGCTACTATGTGCATATAATCATGAAATAAAGTGGGACTAAGTCTACAAATTCATTCTTCCTGCTTATGAAAAACATAGAGCATAAAGACCAAATTCCAGTCCCATCTTGGCTCCTAAATGGAGGCCATTGTTGTTATGTGCCATCGAGTCACCTGTGACTCATAGAGACCCTATGTACAACAGCCCTAAACCCTGCTCTATGCTGGGCCAATCTCACTGTCTCTGACACACTCATCCCGATTACCCCAGTCACTGAATCAATCCACCTCATACAGGGCCTTCCCCTCCTACACTGTCCCTCCACACTCCCAAGCATGGCATCCTTTTCCAAGGACTGGTCCCTCCTTACAACATGTCCAAAGTATGTCAGACGAAGCTTCAGAATCCTTGCCTCCAAGAAGCAGCCTTATTTCATCCTCTCCAGGACAAACCTGTTCGTTCTTTTCTGACACCACAGCTCAAAGGCATCAATTCTCCTTCTATCATTCCTAGTCATTGTCCAGCTCGCTGATTCATTGCAAGTGATTGCAAAGACCAGGGCCTGTATGCGGCACACCTTGGTTTCTATCATTGCTCTTCAGTCAGATCAAGGGATGGGTAGCAGGAGACAGGTATTGAAGGGAGTAGGTGGGAGTAAAAGGGAATGCTGGTGGAGCAAGGAAATGAAACTACTGGTTATTTCTACAATTAGGAAATATTTTTCATCTGCATTTTTCCGCAAAATGCTTGTCTGTCAGATAATTGTCTAAATCTAAGCATTCATACTAAGACACACTAGAAGGGCTGGCCATCCACTTCCGAAATAGCAGGCCTTCGAAAACCCTGTGTACAAGAGAACACACTTAAGACTAGCAGACAGGGCAACAGAGGTGGAGCTTTCAAGTATGGAAATATGAAGGAAGAGGAAATGGAGGCTAGGTTGGGGAAAGCTGGGCCTCTGAAGCTCCTCCCTCAGCGGCCAGTGACAGCTGTCCTGTAACCCGCCTTCCTTACCTCAGTGTTCACACAATGTTGGAAATTCAAGAAAGAGGTGTGCTGTTTGTTTTGGTTTTTTTTAAAGG